GGGTAGCATATATATATATATATAAGAATGTGGGTTTTTGTATAAGCAAAATCTGTTTATGTGCCTATTTGAGCATGGATATATGTCTCTCTATCTTTGTATTTGTATGTAGATGAGTATCCAATTCATAATAGAATCATATCGATTTCTAAATAAAATCGCGACGAAAATTGTCGCGGTTAATTGGTATTCGGGCATACTTTGTGGAATTACCGTCTTCTAATCGTATTGATATTCGCCCGATTGGTCGCCTCAATTTCTTGCTTGGCTCGCGAGCAAATTATATTTGAAAAAATTTTTATTTATTATCATATTCTCGAAGCTTGTAGATTCGCAGATCTTGCAAGTAGCTCCGAATAAATTTTTATAGATATATCTATATATATCTAAATATATCGAAAAATCAATCTATATTTGCTTATATATATATACTATATATATATATATATCTTTGAATATCAATATTTATATATATTTAGAAATATTATGTAAATTTCGCTCTGAAAAAATAAATGAATCTATATAGATCAAGATAATGTTCCCTAGGAATCATCGATAAAATTCTCGAATATCTTTTAAAATATTTTCGATTTTTAGCTAAGTAAATATAGAAAAAAATAGATTATTAAGAAGAATAATTCAATCATATATGTAATTTATTAATGAATTAATTTTCTATATATTTGTAAAATTCATTTTTCAAGATATAATTCTATATATTTTAAAAGAAAATGAATTTATTTGATGTATTTCATATTAGAGCGGAGCCGCTCCTTCCAATATTGGGGGAAAGGAAGCTATAAATCATTTTATCATTGAAATATGCGTTGGTTCCAGCAACGAGGAAAGGGGTTCTAAGCTGCTTTACCATTGAAATAGATAGAGATAATAGAGATAGATAGAGACAGATCCCCAAAAGGCGTCCGACGAAACCTCTTCCCACGTGTTCCCATGTTCGTCGCCCCACTTGCCTCTCCCCTTTTTCTCCATCTGCCCTTCCCCTTCCCTTTGTCGTCCGTCCCGCAGGAAGAACTCGATCCGGTAGTGGAGGGTCGTGGCGAGAGACAGACAGATAGACAGATAAACAGGCAGAGACGAAGGTCGGACGGATACACCATCTTGTTCCTTCGGGTTCCAGCTTTCAGCTGCTTTGCAAAAGGGCTGCTGACTCACGGATCCTTGGCCTTTGCTTTGCTTTGTTTTCCTCCTCAACTTTCCTTTGCTTCTTCATTGCTTTTCTTCTCCTTCACTTCTTCTTTTCTGCTTTTTCCTTCTTTGGTCCAAGACCTTCGATCCTATCCTCACTTTTGCTCTCTTGCTGCTGCGTGTCACTGGAAGTGTGGGTCCACGCTGCTGCTGCTGTCTGCTTCCTGTTCCTGTTCTGCAAAGAGGTGGTACTCGGGTGAGTCCACTGCTGGTGTCTCCTCTTCCTTGCTCTTGCGCTTTCCTTTCTTTTCTCCTTTGCCTTTGAACTTCTGTTCTACTAGGCACGTGGCTTTGCCTTTCACGTCCTTGCCTTCCTATTTGTGCCAACGATGTTGTTCCAGGTCGTAGAAATACCAACCAAAGGTTGATGCTGTTCCACTTCCACTGGTAGTCACTGCCGTCGAACGGGTAGACTGCGTAAAAGTTCTTGTCTGTGTCCTCGTCGAACTTTGGCGCTCCTCTTTGAAACTGTCCTGGGTTCGGTGGTCCTTTGGCTGTGACTTCTGGGTCGTCGTCGCTGCTGCTGGCCTTTTCCTGCTTCTCCTTGTTCTTCTCTTCTCCTCTTGTGCTTCCTGTCTCGTTCCTTGCTTCTGCCTCTAGCTCGGCAAGCTGCTTCTCGAGCTCCTTGATCCTGCCCTGTTCCTTGCTTCCTGTGGCTTGGTCGAACGCTTCGGCCATCGCCTGATTGACTTCCTTCTCCTTTCGGCTGCTGCCTTCTTCTTCCTTTCCTCTTCTGCTGCGGCTGCTGCCGCCTCTTCTTCTTCCTTCCTGGCTGCTTCCTCTGCTGCTCTTTCAAGCGTCTCTCGTGCTTTCTGCTTCTGCCTTTCCTCTTCTTCCTTTGCTGCCTTGGCTTCCTCTCTTTTCCTTCGCTTCTCTTCTTCGAGCTTGCCCATTCTTTCCCAGTACACCTGCGTCCTCTTCGTCTTTGGGCGTAAAAGGTTGGTGTGGCTTTCCTCGTCTTTTTCCTGTCTTTGCAAACTCCTCCTTTCCTTTTCCTTTCTTGTGCTTGTCTTGTAGTCGTAGGTCCACCAAATCTTTTCTCCTGTCTTGTAGTTCTGTTTCCAGATTGAGCCGTTCTCGGTGTAGAACTTCCAGTCGTGGCTTTTGTCGATTGGCGGCTTGAATCCTTCTCCTGTTCCCTCCTCTTTGCTTCCTTTAGGGCAATGTCTGCCCGAGCTTTTTGCCAAAAGTTCCTTTCTCTTGGCGTCGTACTCTTCCTGCGTTTCCTTCTTCTTTGGCTTTTCCTCTTCCTTTGGATCCTCTTCCTTTGGTTCCTCTCCTCTCCTGCTTCATCATCTTCGATCCATTCTCTTTCTTCTTCTTCTGTCCACGGCTCTCCTGCTTCCTCTGGTCCTATGTAGCTTTGCGTGTAGTACTCGTCTAGGTGCCTTGGGGCGGGGAAGAACGTGAGGACGACCCGAACGCCGCGGAGTTCATCCGGGAGCTGGGTGAGGGCCGCTTGGGGGCTTGGGGTTGATCTCTTTTGTCTGCGCCACTGTTCCAGGTGTGCAGGTCTTCAACCTCACAAAGACCTTGCCCGTAGAGCCCTACGGCCAGAGCGGGCCAAAATTATTGACGCGCAATACGACGCGCCGAGCCTGGAAGGCCTCCTTCGAGCGCATGAGAAACATCAAGCGCGTGGCCATGTTGGGCATCCCGGGTGTCGGGACTGAAGAGCCGCAATTTGGCGCTGGGCCTCTGGCACGGGGTGACGGGCCAGGGGCTGCCACAAGGGTTCTCGAAGTTCGAGGCCGGGCGACAGGGTCTTCCTTTCCACCAAGGCCTCGGATGACCAACGGAAGGCTCAGCGCCTTGCGATCGAAGATTGGAAGCCATCAGCCTCCCCAACAACTGGTATTTGGTGGATGCTTTCGTGAAAAAACCCACCTTCAATTTTGCTGCTAAGACTTGGCTCGCCTGCAGCCCAGACCGGGAGCACTACAGCGATTTCGTCAAAAGCGCAGGCACGTGCCTTCTCCTGGGCCGAGGTGGAAGCGTGCTATCCACAGCTCGAGACTGACGTTGAGAAGAAG